AACTTTGATCATCCAAGTGATGATAAGACTCCAGGGTCTTTGGAATTCCTGTCATCAAGCATTAAGAATTGGATATGTAACCCTTACCTACTCCACTCTCCACTCTGAGTCTGTTCACACAGAAAATTGCAGCCTGAACAAAAGGGAAAGAGCTGAGTAGGATGTGGGAACAAGAAAGTCACATGGCTTCAGAGTCTAGAACATTCCAGCCATCTCTAATTCTCTACCTTCCTTGAGGACTGTTGTTTACAGATATGAGGCTTAGTTTGTCCTACCATTTTTTTTTTTTTTTACTTCTTTCTCTCCATTATAAACCTATACCTTTGGCCCAGGTTTTATGATGACTGACAAACAGAAACCCTTAAACATGATCCAGGCTTGGAATCTGGTAGGCGCTCTGTCACAGATCTGGTAGCTTTCAGTTGGCCTCTGGGTTCTCTGTTCTAGAATTTGGAAACCGGGAACAATAAATACTGTAGTTCCCTTCTGTTGAAAATAAAAGGAGAAAAGGGGAAGGCCAGGTGCCTGTGGCTTTCAAATATCCACAGAATGAGAGTGACAGCTCCTTTCCCATGAAGGGGGAGGAGACCACAACCTCGTTTATCAAGGAAATATCACTTTTCCCAATCTGCACAAAACTCATTTGTAACACTTAGTGCTAGCCTTGGGGGAGGCAGGTAGACAAGTTTTCTCTTGCCTGAGGATTTGATGTCCCTAATGGGGCAGATGGAAATAATTTTCTTACTTAAGATCAGTCTTGGGTCCCCTAGACACCATTGTTTCTGTCAGTGCTGTCTCTCCAATATAACCTAGATGTAGGCAAGATTGAGTCAAACTCACATTCTATGCCAGTGACAGTTAAAGGCCTTCCCAATACTTCTGGGTATTCATGAAGGACTTACATGCTCTGACACCTCTGCATCTGAGATTCTATACCCCAATGATTTCATCCACAGTTTATGACCTATGTTTATAGGACCCAGGCTTACCCTCAGTTTCTACTACAAGCACATGCTTAAGGTTATTCATGAGAGTTAAATACTGTACCAAAGGGCAAGGAGATCATGGAGAGAGGGAAAGATCATGTCCTATGAAACATGCAGGTTGAAACATATTTGAGGGTTATAAATGTCTCATAGAACAGATGCTTTTAAAAGTCCTGTTGACCATTCAATCAGTTCTTGCACTTCTCCCCTTTTAGTGTCCAGCCTTTCACCTTTCCTTCTTTCCCCCTCTCTCTCCCTTCTGTCCCATCCTTTTCAGGAATGTATATCAGAAATTCAAGTGCTGATAGCTGGTATCAAATGTGAAAAGGTGGGGTGTGCCAGCCACAAAGAGGATCCAGTTTCCGTCAATGCATTCAGGTTCAAGTGTTTCTAAGTCCTGTGTCCCACTAGATACCTCTGCAGATCATGAGGCCTCTGAGCCATCAGTTCACAGTCCCTGGCTCTGTAGTCATCCAAGACAGAACAACAGAGCCCTCCAAAGAGTGGCAAGGGCTCTCTGTCTCTCCCCTGCTTTGTATGTCCTAACTATTACCAAGGTTAGATTTACTACATGTGTGAATGGAAGGCAGCCAAGTAACAAGTGAATGTGGTCTCAGAAATTATCAGCTAGGGTTCACCAAAGGCTCCACTAATCTGCATATATATATATATATATATATATATATATATATATAGAGAGAGAGAGAGAGAGAGAGAGAGAGAGAGAG